TGAGTTGTGGGTGTGATCGTCCTGTTGACTGTTGGGTTTTATCGGAGGAGGAGGAGGAAGAGGTGGGGCGAGGGCGAGTTGGGGTGGGGATCAGGTGATTGAAGAACCCCTTTTTTTATTGTTGATTATTTTAAACAATAAAAAGGGAAAATACGAAAATACAATTAATGTACTTTTGTGTAATTAAAATATTGATTTAAGTGAAAGAGAAATGACACTTGTCATGAGTAAAAGGGAAAATGTCCAAAAAAGAAGGTGAGAGAGAAAATTTCTAACATTCTCTTTTTTTATTTCCTGAATGACTTTTTTAAGTTTTAAAGAAATAAGAAAATTTTGAATTTATGTGCTAAGGTATGTTGAGCAAGTATATTTCCTAAATTTTGAATTTCTTCCAATGTTTGTTAGCACAATCTATGAGAGGCATGTTGTTATAGGAAGTGAGCACAATCTTCCAATGTTTGTTTGTCTATAGTTTATACAAGTTCGTTGGACCTTCAATATAGAATTTGCACGTGGGCCCTTTACCTTATATTTTTGGTTTTATATTCGCACTTGGAGCTCCTGTAGTTTTGAGAGGTCATGTGAGGGTGCTCCATTAGTGCATTAATTAGTGCCAGGCGGCCAAAACATGGAGATGGAGCCCAACATATACAAATAACTCAAAGCAACAGCTCAAATGTGACTTTCTTGGTCTCATTTTCCATTTTTTATCCAGATATTTCATAACAAAATTCGAAATCCAACATATATTTTATACAAATAAAGAAGTTACACTTGGGTTGGATCTACCAGCTTCTGCTATTACAGAATTCACATCTTCATAACAAAATACAACTTCTGTTGCGCCATAGCAATTATTTATCTACATCCACAAGCTTGTTGCCTCCCATGACCGGGACTAAAGTATCAACAAATACAATAGTTTCGACAAGAGATGGATTCTCAAAATGCATTGGAAGATTTTTAAGCTTATTGGTACCAGGGTTGTAAGATACTATATCTCCATTTCTGGTAACCATAACAATCTCGTCACTTTTCCAAAATTCCAAAATACTTTTAATGCCGGCCATGGGATCAAAAGTTAAATTTCTAGTCCAAGAACTCTTAGCTCCATCGAAGTCATCCAACACCCATAATCCATAGCGTTCATCAAATGTACCAAAACTATCTAAGCCAAACAGAGCAACGGATTCATTCCACACTAGAATGCGCATGACATAACGATATTCTGGTGGCTCATATAAACTATCTGGAAGTAATATATTACGAAATACCTCATCGCCAGTGTCAAACAAAAAGATCATTGTCTTCTTTTGCTCATCCTCAAGTCTATCAAAGTAAGACTCGAATTCTTTTGGTTGTTCATATCCCACCCAATAACAAATTCCTTTCCAGTACATCTGGAAATAATCAGGCCAAAAGAAAGTATCTTCTGTTTCTAAATAGTTATTCTTGATCTGTCGCCAAGAATCTGTATTTAGGGTGTATATTTCAACTCTAGGAGGAAAAAAAACAAGACGGTCACCATAAATTTCCTCACCATCACATGAAATTCTATGAACTTTGTAATCTTTAGATTTAGGATCATATCCAAACCCCACACCACACTGTATCAACTGTGGAAGGCATGATTGTGGAAGAAGCTTGAGTTCCTTGATTGCTGGATTGCATAAAACTATGTTGTCACTACCATCACATAAACAAACTATCCCATGACAATGGGCTATAATACTTAGAGATTCAATAACCTCGAGCCCAATATATTGTCCGGTAGAAAGTGTAAATTTGATGTCCTCAACAACAGAGTTGACGTTATGCTCATTATCATTATAATCATTGCAAAGATAAAGGAAGGAGAATCCAAGCTCTTTCTCACCAGTGTTAGTGTCGCTCTGGACAAAACGTTTGAAAAGGATGCAAGTGGAGAATTTGTTGTGCATGGAATTGGAGAGGTGACTTTCCACAAACATGGGATTGTTGATGACAGTATACCACGATTTACGTACACACTTGAATCGCATTAGAGATTTTGAAGGCAATCTTGATAGGATATGCAACACCATCTCTTCTGACATCTTGCAATACTCTGTCACTTCGGCTTTGATCAACTCCTTTTTCTTCTTCTCCCTCTTTTCTGTTGGTAGAAAAACAATCATATCAGCCCCCCAAAAAGAGAATACTTGAGAAAATTTAATGTATTCTATATATGTGTCTTACACTTCAAACAGATGCAGCAGCTTTATACATACAGAGCATGTCTATTCTAAGTAAATACATACTAATTATTTGCTAATTATATTCGGATCCTACAATCTCTCAATCTCATATCATTGACTGATTGCCAAATATATTCAGATCCTACAATCTCTCAATCTCAGATCATTGACTGATTTTCTTTCCTTTAACACTCCCCCTCAAGTTGGAAGGTGGATATTGATGACACCCAACTTGCCAAGAAATGAACCGAATGCAGGTGCCCTCAATGGCTTGGTAAACAAGTCTGCTATCTGTTCTCCAGTTTGCCCATATCCAGTCTTGATCTCACCTCTTTCTATTCTTTCACGAACGGTGTGACAATCGAGCTCAATGTGTTTGGTTCGTTCGTGATACACTGGATTTGCTGCAATATATAGGGCAGCTTGATTATCACAAAACAACTTTGCAGGTTCATCATGAGTAACATGCAGATCATGCAATAGATATCTTAACCAAGTGAGTTCACATGTAGCTGCAGCCATTGAACGATATTCAGTTTCGGCAGATGATCGTGCAATTGTAACTTGCTTCTTGCTTTTCCAGGACACCAGTGAGTTACCAAGAAAGATGCAATATCCCGTGACTGACCGGCGTGTCATTGGGCATCGAGCCCAATCAGCATCACAATAACCAATTAGGTTCAACTTGTTCTGTGTAGAAAATAACAGCCATTGCCCTGGAGTTCCTTTAAGGTAGTGAAGTAGACGATTTACAGCATCAAGATGTTGACGTTTAGGCTCTTGCATAAACTGGCTGAGTGTATTGACTGCATAAGTAATTTCTGGCCTTGTAATTGTGAGATAGATTAGCTTTCCAACTAAGCGTCGATACCTAGTAGGATCTTTGAGCAGTTCACCTGTAGAAGATAATGTTATATCAGGTTCCATGGGAACCTTGGCTGGTTTAGCTCCAAGTAGTCCAGCTTCTTCCAAAATGTCAAGAGTATACTTGCGTTGACATATAGAAATTCCCGTTTTCGACCGTGCCACCTCAACACCAAGGAAATATTTCAAGGGTCGGAGATCTTTGATTCGGAATTGGCTGCCAAGGAAATGCTTCAATTTACAGATTACCTCCTCATCATTCCCTGTGATGATCATGTCATCTACATAGAGCAATATAATAGTCAGGGAACTTCCATGTACCTGTGTGAACAAAGAGTAATCTGCCCTAGATTGCTTGAAACTAATTCCACATATAGTAGATGAAAACTTTCGAAACCAGCTCCGTGAAGCTTGTTTCAGTCCATACAAGGACTTGTGGAGTTGACATACAACCTGCTGCTCCCCCTGTCGACGTGAACCAGGCGGAGGTAACATGTAAACCTCCTCATGGAGGTCGCCATGGAGAAACGCGTTCTGAACGTCTATTTGATGAAGAGACCATTTGCGAGCAGCCGCAACCGTGAGTAAGCAGCGGACAGTGATCAACTTCGCAACCGGAGCAAATGTGTCAGTGAAGTCAATACCTTCACGTTGGTTGAACCCCTGGGCAACAAGGCGGGCCTTGTAACGATCAACAGAGCCATCGGAGTGGTATTTAATCCGAAAAATCCACTTGGAACCAATGGGACGATGACCGGGAGGTAGAGGAACCAGCGACCAGGTGTGGTTCTTTTATTTTTTAAGTTGGAAATGTAAAAATAGATTTTTAAATCCAGTTGTATAAAGAGTTTTATTTTTTATATATGATAATATAACATGTGGCATATTTTAGATGGGAGTATCACGAGATGACGTGGTGATACTGTATCATTCTATAATTTCTCATTAATTTGAGTCATACGAGGGGCTTTAACTTTAAGTTCCAAAACAACAGTCAAGTCTCTATATATTTTTTCATAAAAGAGCAATAATATTTTGAATAGATGCACCACTGTCTAACCACCATGAATCATTTGACAAACCAACAAAATTAGACATGAAACAAACCAAAATATGATCACTTTTACCTTTAACCCTCTGTTTGTCCAACCATTTCTTGTATCTCCTACATTATTTCTTCATATGCCTATTTTTCTTGCGTTTCAAAGCTTTTGAAATGTTGCTATTTTCCTTATCTTTCTCTTTTTCAGTAACAACATTGTTCTTGTTTCCTTTGTATTGCTTTGTTTGAACATGTTCACCTTCTTTGTGCTCCTTTCGTGATAAGATCATTGAGTACCCAACTTTCTTTTTGAGCCATATATGTATTTATGAGAGACTTGAATTCCTTAGGCAATGAATTCAAAGCAAAATGAACCATCATATCCTCATCCACATTCATATTCAGTTCCTGCAATTTTTCCTCAATATCGATCATGTTCATGATGTGAGCTCTCACACACCCTTGTCCTTCATATTTCATATAAGTTAGCTTATTTAGCAGTGAACTTTTGGCAGACTTCTCATGAACTTTGAACCTTTGAGCAATAAATTCATAGTATTCCTTTGCACTCTCAGTCTTTGGAATGCTTCCTTTCACTGATGATGTCATTGATCTTTGCATAATAAGCATATAGTCATTCATTTGCCTTAATGACTTATGCACAAGCATCTACATCTGGCTCTTGGAGAACTGCATCATAGTCCAAAAGTCCCAAGGAAATTGCCAAATCTGGCTTCCATTTTTGGTAGTTTGATCCAGTTAAGGTTTGGTTGAATGATAGTTTGAGGTATATTCACTATAAAATTTTATAACAAACGCATAAATAAATAAACTTTTCCCCATAGATCCTTACTTAAACATTATTAACTCACATATGTGGATCATGAGTTAAATGTGTTCCAAAGCACTGAATTATTAGGGTTTGCACAAACTTCTTGTGCAAGAAAACTCTCATATGTGGATTGAGAAGCTTCTTGAGAGTTTATGCTGACCTTTTCTTCATGATGTTCCACTACAATTGTTATCAAACTATACCTTTCCCATCCGTGGATCGAGAATTGTATAGAGGGCTATCAACTGTGATGCATTCTTTTGATCAATCTGTTGATTGAAAGCTGCTTCTGCAACAGTTTGGGCTGATGTGGCTCGCTCAACTTATGCATATGTAATTTCCAGCCTTTGATCAATAGTCATTCAAGCATGATCGAGCAATGATTCTTTATGCAATTATTTAATCTACATGCTTCTATGACTAATGATCAAATATAGATGAGCATAATGACCTTGATCCAGTTTTGAAAAATCAAAAGGTTAGATTAAAGAACAAGACCTAGTGCTTTGATACCATATGTAAATTCTAACCATGTCTTTGAACTCTAACACTAACCTTGATCTGACATGATTGGTGTTGAGGAATAGAGGGCTTCTTCACCTATGCAGTCCTTGATTTCTCTCTCTAGATAGGGTGAGGTATTTGTATGAGTGAATCCACTGCTAGGGAAGGAACCTCTATATATATGCATTTACTTAAGTGTCTTGCCCATAAAAAAAACACTGTAGTAATTCTGTTTGCATTAGACTAGGATGTTTTAATCCATATAGGACTAGAAACTCTCTTAGTGTTTTAATTAAAATTGCACTTAGCCCAGAGTTTTAGACATCTCGAGATATACTTCCTGATCAATACAAACCCCACAACTCCTAATGTGATTAGAAGACCATATTAAATGGATTAACACAAGGTATTGATATTTCATAACAAAATTCGAAATTAAATAAAGGAAACAAATGAATTTCTGAACTTCTTTTTTCAAGACTTGCACTTGGGGTCTAATGTACCAGCACTTCTCTTATTACAGAATTCACAGTTTCAAAGCAAACAACATCCGTCATGTTGTGCCAATAAAAAATAAAAATAAAACTAAAAAGGTGACTAGAATTAAAGTATTCACATATACAATGGTTTCGACACGAAATGGACTCTCAGTACTTATTGGAAGATTTTTAGCTTATTCATACCAAGGTTGTAAGATACTATATCCCCATATTAGGGATGGCAACGGGCCGGTTAGGAGCCGGGTATGACAATACCATCCCCATCCTCGTCCCCTCTCCAATCCCCTGTTTAGGCTTTTCGGGGAATCCCCATCCCCGTCCCCGTGGGGGAAATACCTTCCATACCCGCTCCAATCCCCGGTTTTTAATAAGATATTTCTTGTTAAAATAATTTTCTAAAGCACAATCACATCATTGTGAAATTTTTAAAACAACCACCGCAAGATATTTCTTGTTAAAATAATAACTCAACAAGGTAAAGAAGAAGGACACAAAATTTGAAATAATTTCTATCCAAATCTTTAGAAACTTTTTTTAGTAAGCACAATAAATTCATCTAGTCTCTAGGGTAACTTTGTTTATTATATTATATTAATATATGTTGATTATAAATAAATATCTGGAATGTCAGTTGGCCTTTGAAGTTCCTTTATTTGATCCAAATTTTCCAACTCTGGTGACAGCCCCCCATGCATACAAAGTATCTTCTCATCAATAAGTGCAGCGACAGGCAAACAATTAAAGCACTCAGTAAATATTTTCCAAAGCCTAACATTAAACCTCCTTTTACACTCATCATAGAACCCGTATATTCGATTAATCTTTGCATCTTCATGGTTCCCTCTCAAAAGGAAGATTTTGTCAGGATATCTTATTTTATAGGCCAGAAGCAAACATATTGTCTCCAAACTTTGCTTGCCTCGATCCACATAATCTCCAAGAAACAGGTAGGTCGCAGAAGGAGGGTAACCACCATATTCAAATAGCCTTAGCAGGTCTTGGTATTGTCCATGTATATCACCTGTAAGATGCCTGCAATATTAGGAACACCAAGGACACAGAGAAATATAAGGAGATAATTGTTATGTTTTCTTTCAACTATCATTTCTGCCCTGTA